AACGCTGATAATTTTGGATATCCAAAGATCATATAATGTGCAACTTCAACTGTTGCCAAATTTCAACAGATCCCAAGATCTAGACAGGTACGTGGATGAGGCCGATCAATTCTACGCGAATCCACTGAAGTTTCTAGATGATCACTTCGAACCTGTGACCATACCATCATCTTCTGTTAATCAGAATGGTACGTTACGAAGGTGGCCGAGTCATTTGGTAATCTTCGAGGCGTTGCTGAAGGATCTCGGATCGGTATTATCGGGTTATGATTATGTGCAAGTAAGTGGATAGAATTGGTTGGATTTCATGACTTCTTTATCATTGAAATTTCAAAATTTTATAGTGCGCAAGATTTTTCAATTCACATTTTAATGATGATTCGAGAAGAGAAGGAGATGTCATTGTTTATTGCAAAGATGCTACCCTCTAATTTTCGAGGTACAAATTGTCCATAATAACAAGGATGCTCTCAAATTTTCAGACTGCCTGTTTCTCGTTTGGTGTCATTGCATATTCTACATGTTGAAAATCAGTTTTTTATAAAATTTTTTACAATGTTAAATCTAAAAATGAAAGATAACCACTTTTCCCCACGTAAAGTAGTATTGCTATAATGATGTTGAAGATCGAGTATAAGATTTAGATAAATTTTAAGAGTTCGAAAATAGAGGAACCAACGACTACGAAAAGAATGATGCCCAATGTCAAATAGCCGACAGGTATCTCTTTTTCTTTTCGCTATTATTTACAAAGAGAAACATCGCGTGCGTTAATAAAGGATACGGAAATGGGAAGCTTGATCTATTAATTTGGTCATCTATTTCGAATGTCGCACATTCTACGAAAGCGAAAGATGATAAAATACCAAAGATTTGACATGACCGCGGCTATGGACGTTGGAGGCGTATTTCAAATTTTTCTTTCGAATGACTGGACTTGTTCCCGGCTAATGAAAATAGTGTAAAAGTTATAAAAATGGAATGAAAATTGAATCACACTTCCCAGCACTCCTTGTTAAAACCAAGAGTTTGAAGAATACCGTTACCATTTTGTTAAATGAGAAGAAGAAAATGGCGCTTTACATGCGGACACGTAAGGTATAAATAAAGTTTCTACATTTAGAAATACAATGGTTAGAGTAAGTCAATCAAATGAGGACCTCACCAGTTATCACAAAAGCATGCCCCACAGATCATTTCTTTGTATGGATCCAGAAAAATTTGTCGATTTGCTACTTGATCGCATTGAAGCTAAAGCCGTTTTTCCGCAATACTATTCCTACTTTCATTTGTATTTGAAACCTTTGAAAAAATCAAATGACGTAACTTCCGGCCCTCAGAGGTTTGTCTAGTTTGTGAAATCTTTGCGCAGCAGACCCCAAATTCTCTAATAGAATTGAATTTTTTTTTTCCCGTTTTGAAATTAAGTGGGCCATTCAATTCTTATTATGATGTCCTCTTTGCCTACATTTGCTCCGACCTCATTGCGCCTAGCAATGAACTTACGGTAATGTCGAAGCACTTCCTCTCATAAAAGTTAAATATGCATCTTACCTTAATAATATTCTAATATTAGTTCAATGGTATCTTTCTGACGCATTTGTTGATAAGACGACTCCGGAGTTCTATCGATCCTAAATCCTATACCCCTATACTAAAGTTCTTTAACACTTTTACGCTGGAGTCAAATATCTGTAAGGATCTTTTGATTTGTTCTCTACCGACAAACAAAGTTCAGATGAGTTGACGCGATGATACGATACCCTCAGATCCCTTTAGACCCTGCATTTCCATGCTAGTCGTCCACGTTCTTAATCCAAGCAGAATACCCGGGCATACTATACATTGGCTTTTATCTTTTATACGTGATGAAGCCTTATGGTTGTTGCAAGATGTTGATCGGGACACTGCTTCTTCACAAGCTCCAGTGTCCGAAAATATTTCATCCTTCCTTTCCGAACAATTTAGCAAGGTTAGATGATTTCTATGTCGCATAATGGATTCTAATGCGACTATTTTCCATTAACTAATGTCATGTC